ATTGGGGAAGGGGAGGGTAATTGGGCCTCCGGTAACCTCACTCACACGATGAAACACAACGCAAGCGTTGCTTCACGTCGGTTTTCTATGAGGCCGTGGTATCACTCCGGTCGAGCCGGCCCATTCGTGCCGAAGCATGGCTCTCCCACACTTAGCACGAATGAGCACTTAGCGTGAATGCCATATTATAGTCATGACGAACTGCTGCATCTACATCTATGGACATTCAATAACAGTAGAATTTTCCTTTGCGTTGCAGATGCATTTACTAGTTTGATTGCTTCGCCGGTGGTGTAGTGGCCGAGCGACGGCTGCTATGCAACGTGTCGCGGGTTCGATACTCACATTTAACAATTTTTTGTGTGATCCTGCTTTTTACTAATGTTATAAGTTCATATACCTGAAAGGGTTTTTTTTAGGGGGAAAATCATCCAATGACTTCTCCCGCCTGGGTGAGGCGGGAGGGAGTGTCAGACTCTTACTGACTAAAAACCACCCCGTTCCTTCTCTTGCACGTCGAGCCGGAGCCCCGGTTACCCGTTAGGTTCTCCGCGACACCTGAAAGGGGGTTAGCTTAACATTTTTATATCAAGCATGAACTAACAAAATTATTTGGTATTACCTTATGATTCTAAGTAAATTAAACCTATATAGCTATGTACCAGGTTCAATATGTCTAGTTGAATACTGTCACCGAGTCACAGGTCAGAGGAAATTCAAAGAAAATTTGTGCAGACTATGTGAATGTGTTTGTAGTAACGTAAAGCCGTCGCCCATGGAACTTTGCCAACCACGGAGGACAAGTATGTAAGTATGTATATATAGTAAGTATGTACCTACATACTGTAGGGTAAATATTCATACAAAAATATCTTGATATCTAACTGCGTTCGGTATTGTTCCTGACCTTTTTCCTATAGAGGAAGATTGTGGTGAGTGATAGGTAAGTCGTAGGTCGTAGGTCGTAGGTTTGGCAAAAACTAACTAGATCCTACTAATATAATATAATTTATAAATGCGAAAGTTTGTGAGGATGTGTGTGTGTATGTGTGTTTGTTACTCTTTCACGTTAAACGGCTGAAGGCATCGAGATGAAATTTGGAACTAGGATAGATTATGATCTGGA